CATTCATTCATTCATTCATTCATTCATTCATTCATTCATTCATTCATTCATTTTGTGTACAGTGTTCTGCCTGCATTTGTGCCTGCAGGGCTGAAGAGGGCACCAGATCTCATTATAGATGGTTAGGAGCCACATCTGGTTTCTGGGAATTGAACTCAGGACCCCTGGAAGAACAGCCAGTGCTGTTTATCTCTGAGTCATTTCTCTAGCCCCTGTGCCTAGCTTTCATTTACAGGTTGAAATATACTCCGTTTCTTAAATCTGGTTTTGCCCCATTGAGTTTCTAATAACCCAGGGTTGTGTGGAGTCTTTTGGACTTTGAAGTTGTGAAAATAAAATCATGGTTCTCTGTGTTCTCCTGTGAGAACCATGGGTATCTACTTTTAAATCTGACAGTGAATAAAGGTTATTAGACCAATTTTCATCTAATTTTTACAGCCATTTTAAAGCGCTTACTTTTCCCTACTCTACGTTGTTACTTGTCCATACTCTACGCAGTCATGCCAGATGACAAATTAGTCATCTTGTTCTTGTATTTTAAATTCAAAATTTACAATCTTAGTGGCAAAATGACATTAGATGCTTGATTCAGAACTAGAGTTATGGAATAACTTGTTCCTTTAGAAAAGAAATGCAGTCTCTTAATGGCATTGCTTATTAGAGACTCAGAATTTTTAACAGTATAATAATATTTTTTCCCTCCAATGCAGGTGTTCTTTATACATTTTCCTACAGGGCTCCTCTGTGGAGAAATCCGGAAAGCATATGTAGAATTTGTCAATGTCAGCAAATGTCCTCTGACTGGATTGAAGGTTGTGTCTAAACGTCCAGAGTTCTTCACTTTTGGTGGCAATACTGCTGTTCTAACACCGCTAAGTCCTTCCACATCTGAAAACTGCAGTGCTTATAAGACGGTTGTGACAGATTCCCCCTTCGAGGGTATAGCACTTGTGTCATCAGCATCATCTGTGGACTTTGGGACCGGCACAGGACAGCAGCTGGAGGCCATTCCTGTCCCACTTCCTGACTCTGTGCTCCTTCCCGGAGCTTCTGTCCAGCTACCAATGTGGCTTCGTGGGCCAGATGAAGAGGGTGTCCATGAAATTAACTTTTTATTTTACTATGAAAGCGTTAAAAAGCAGCCTAAAAGACGGTGGGTAATTAAAACTTTACAGTCTAAGGTCTTTACTTAATATTTAGTATATTATATTTTAATAAATGTTTGGTACTTGTTAATATTTTACACATCTTTGCTTACTAAGACATTAACCATCTACCAAATGATGCATGATGTTTATATCTAAACTTGTTATAATTATAACTTAATTCTAGGTAGCTAAAAATGAAAAAAATTAACTTTATGAAATTGTTATTTTTTTAATCAGAAAATGAAAAAACACAAAATGTTTAGTTGTTTGTGGTTTATAAACGTACTGATTCTTTGATAGATTAAAGTGTTGTGTCATTTGTATATGAAGCACCCTGCCATACAGCTGTCCTTTTGTAAGAATATGATTTTGGCAGACAAAAGAAATGTGTGTTCCGGTGGACGATCACTTAAGAACTCCAGCTTCGCTGCTTTCTACATCCGGCATGCATGTTGCACAGCAGAATTCTAATATTACTGTTATCTTTATAAATCCAACATATTTTTTATTCTGTAGGATATCTAAATGTCATGTGAAACAATGTAAAAATAGAAATGGAACATAATTGAAGAGATGGTACACTTGAGGTTCTTAGTGTCCTCCTTTAGAGGATAGACACAGACAAAGCACTCTGGTCAGAGCCTTAGTGCCATGGTAGTGAAAGGAGTTTCAGAGGGCAGGAGAGACTTCAGGACATAGAGACCAAGTGGAGAGGAATCAACCACCCAGTGAGTAGCTTTGTCTGTGAACAACAGTGTACCAGGTAGAGAATAAGAACTGGATGCTTTGCCACAGCACAAATTGTGGGCAATAAGTAGGATTCAGGGTGGTAGCATGCACTCATAATGGGGGTGAAGGGGAGCTCTGAAGGCAAGATCAGGAGTATCTGGCCACCCTGAGCTACACAGACTGTGACTTAAAAAACATGTTTGAAATGTACAGCTCTGAACACCAAGTTAAAAGCTGAGGTTTTGGGCCCGGGGAGATGTGCCTGAGTGGTTAAGAGCTTTTGCTATTGTTCTAGAAGACCCATATTTGGTTCCCGGCATCCATATTGGAAATCTCACAACTGCGTGTAATCCGGTTCTAGATGATCTGGTGCCTTCTTCTGGCCTCCTTGGATACACACCCACACACATGTAGCATGCACACACAAATTAAAAAAAAAAAGTGGTTTTGCTTGGTGGTTTAATTTTGAGACCTATTTATTTGTTTTAAGATAGGATCTCACTATGTAGCCTTGGCTAGCCTGAAACTCACTGTAGACCAGGTTGGCCTCAATTTTACAGACCTCCTTCTTTTTGTCTCTTTAAAGGCACACACCCAGGGCACCTCTGAGACATCTTTGGGACCATTTTAAAGATAGAATATGTATTGTTGCTATGTGAAGGTTAATTTCACTATGACATGGTTGAGTCTGATGAGCAGGAGAAAATCCTAGAGCCAGGAATACTATTAGTTTCCATCCAAATTGAGAAGAAACCATTGAACTGGACTTGGTGTAACTAAAATTTTACCTTACTGTATTTTTTTTGATTCTCTGGTTACATGCAATCCTGGAAGTTATGGGGTTTCTGTTTTTTATTTAAAAGTAGAGATTTGTAACATAGGGAGAGAATCTTAGATTTAGCTTGCATGTGTTTTTAATCTTCAGACACAGAATATTAAGACACACTGCAGTTATTTGTACTAGCCGGTCTTTGAATGTGCGAGCGACTGTCTGCAGAAGTAATTCACTTGAAGATGAAGAAGGCAGGGGAGGCAATATGCTAGTCTTCGTGGATGTGGAAAATACCAATACTGTAAGTTATTTTAAGCCTGAATTTTGTTTTAAAAGGTATTTTAAAATGTTTGTTTTCAGTAAATTTTTTCTCTATAATTTATCCTAAGTAGGAACTTAGAGCTATACATATAGATTAGTATGAACACATCTTAAAATTCTCAACTGGCTTTGATTTTGTCAAAGGATCTGCTGATAATAGTATGTATGTCAGTGTCAGTTGTAGTGTTCAGTGGTGCAGTCTCAGAGGTAATGGAAGTGTGTGTAGTTCTTTGGAGATTTCACTCTCCTTGGTAATAGTAATCCTATGCTCACACATTCTGACAGTAACATTTTCTTTAATTAAAACATTTCTGTTTGTACACTCAAATGTCAAAAAGATGTGATTGTAAAGCTTATAGAGCCTCAAGCTGACCAGTTCAGATACTTATCACATGAGAGTTCTGTAATTCTTGCTTTTAGTTTCATAAATCTGTGAAGCCACTTTTTAAGAAACAGTGAGATTTATTGTGCTGAAATGTTGGTGATTTTCACAAGACAGCGCTCATCAATTGAGTAAGAAAATGCTGGTAATTTCTAATCTCAGATCGTTTCTCATTTAGGAAAATACAAAAATTATATAAGGTGGTGGTGCATGCCTTTAATCCCAGCACTTGGGAGGCCAAAGCTGGGGGAGGAATCTCTGTGAGTTCAAGGCTAGCCTGGTCTACAGAGTGAATTCCAGGACAGCCAAGGCTACACAGAAAAACCCGGTCTCGAAAAACATCTATCTATCTATCTATCTATCTATCTATCTATCTATCTATCTATC